GCATAAGGCTGCCTACTCTGTCTCAGTGTTCAAGCTGGAATATACCATTTTTTTCTGTCACACGTATGGCTCTTATGTAAATAAAGTAGTATTTCACCTTAAATTTTCTGTGAGGGGTGTCTGTGGTCAAGGCCCATCCTAGAACCAGTGACCCTATTGCAGGATTACAATCTTTACTCTCACAATACTATCAGACAATCATTTAGGACATGTGAAACAGATTATTAGTGTTAACTTGAATATTGGAAAAGACTGCAACAGGACATTATCCGTAATTGAGATGATAAAGCTTTCTTTTACTTTCTACAGCCAGTAAAGTCACCTCTTTTAATTGTCTTCAATTAAACAAGTCCTCATTTCAAGTTTGTATTTATGTAAGAAATCTGCTACACATATTACCATATTTATTTTGAAATATTATACACCTTAATTTACCATACAACACCAAATTATGAATTTATTTTTTCATACGAAATGTTTCATAAGACTGTTTTTTTTTACAAAAAGAATGTTATTGGATCAGTCCTAAAAATATAAAGTGTTGGAGCATCTTATTCCTGGTTAAAAAAACATTCAGACAGGTCAGGCTCACATGGTAGCTACAGTAAATAAAGATCTCAAGCATCTATTAAAATAATTTTTCAACAGTTCTAACCTAGTATTTTAGACACTACAGGTGTGATATTTATTTTAATTTTTTCAGTAGGATGTTTTCAGAGAAATAGCAATCCCTTGAATTTAGAGTCTTGAATGATCTCATTTAAGATTCCCAATGCTGTTAAATTCCAGTTGTTGTGAATCTAGGGAAAACAGTGAGCAGGTATTTCTTTAAATCAGTCCGCCGTAGATTTTCCATGTTCCTAGTTAGGAAGCTTGTGCTCTGGTCTTCTTAGCTGAAATTATCTGTCCAGGTGGTGAAAAGTTAGGTTCCTTTCTTGACTCTCCATCAAGAAATGTTGTAGATCTCGGTCATGAATAGTAAATCAGCGCTTGGGGATTTTCCAGTTACCTTTTAAAAAAGATAAAAAAGTTATTTTAGATGTCAATTATGTATGCAAAATCATAATTATTTAATATATAATATTATTATTAATTATTTATAATTATTTTGATTTTTTTGGTTCATGCTTTAAGCAAGTGATCGATTCAAACCAGTGATTGATTTAACCAAATCGATCATGCTTTTATATTAGCCTTTTCCCATCTACATTTTTTATATAAAATTGCATTTTATCCTGTACATTCTCGGAGAAAAGTTTTTGATCACTCATACATATCATGTGAAGAGACTCTTAAGTAAAAATATTGATGCCGCATATTGTGGCCTGAACATGTGTTAAAAATAATATATCATTCACATCTTCACTTCATTTAGACTAAATTTAGAAAATGAAAGAGGGGTTTAAGTTTTACAAATCTTAAAAGACAGTACAGATCTCTAATGTGACTGTTTTTTTTAACCTGAAGATTGTTTCATTTTGTTACAATCTATTTTTTGTTAATGCAAAGAGAGATGTAGTTCAATTTTACATAATGCAAGTAAGCTATCATGGAATTATCAGTTATCAGTATTTCTGATCACGTAAGTCCATTTTCTCTCCACAAGCTTTGAATTACTGCCAAAAACAAAACTGAGTGTAGTGTCTGTTGAAAACATTTGTATATTGATCAATAAATGCTTTCATTTGCAGTAAAGCCCATTTTCCATGATAGCTCTTTTTCCTTTAACCATCTGCACAAAATTATCATTAAGATGCATTTTGGGTCCCATTGAATGAGCTTTATACTCCAGGAAATAAACTGCGTAAATTATGCTTCATAGATTTTGTTCAAACCTCTTAATAAACCATTATCTCCTAGGATGCAACAAATAAGGCTTTTCAAGCTTTTTCAAACATTTTTAATTCACCTTATTCCAAATGTTCAACTGGCAACACAAGCAGTTGCTCAGCTGGCAGGGCATTTCTCTGTATAATACTCCATTACGATAATCGCCTTTGCATGAAGGTGGTAGCATCTAGGACTGGCAGTGGAGTCGGATCATGGTAAGATTGAGGAAGCCATACAAAAAGAGGATTATTACAGTAGTCCACAGAGACAAGCTTTTCCATCTGCACTGTGTCTGATTGCTTTCCTGGGGCTTTCTCTGAATTACCACATTTTACACATTAAATGCCATATTTACAGTCTTCATCATACAGTATGTAACATTCATTCTTTTCTTTCTTTTTAAATGAGCTCCAAAGTATTTCTTTGGGTACCGAAAGCTGACAGAAAGTATTGGAACCTAAGTGGCCAAGTATAATTCATTGTCACAAGGACACCTTTTTTTATTACAAACACTTCATGCTTTTACTGTACATTAGCCTTTTCCCATCTACATTTTTTATATAAAATTGCATTTTATCCTGTACATTCTCTGAGAAATGTTTTTGATCACTCATACATATCACGTGAAGAGACTCTTAAGCAAAAATATTCATGCCGCATATTGTGGCCTGAACATGTGTTGTTAAAAATAATATATCATTCACATCTTCACTTCATTATGACCTAAAAGGAATATGCGCAACATTTTTAAACAAATGTGTGAAAGAAGAAGAATCCTGCCACTCTTTTTCTGTACTCTTATGCTGTTTGCCAAAGATTCTGGATGCATTTTCTGAGAACAGTGATAACACTGTAGGTATATTAACTGGCTTTCTGCATCAACTACAGACAACTGGATCCTTTAATTTGACTGTTAGAGGTGCTGAGTTTAAATAGTCTAGCAGGAATGTTAATATTCTAGAGTGTGGCAGGAATAAGTTGCAGGCATCCCAATTTAAAAACTCAAGATATTATCATCTAAACCACCATGTACCAACTGGATCTGCTGGTGATGCTAAAAGAGGCACAGGATTCTTTTAGCATATTAGAGTCAGGATGAAAGCACTTCTCTGATTATATCAATTTGTGTTTTTATGTTTGCCTTTATGCTGTCCCATCTTGTTTTAATTGTTGTTATTCAATGTTTATTCAGTATATTGGGATGTTTTTTTTCCAAACATGCCATTGGAATATGGCATCATTCTTATATGATCTCCTTAGGACTTGACCTCCACCTCCCTCATCTTTTATAATGTCTTTGCAAGCAGAGTCTTAGATTTATGAACTGTTGTAATAACATATAGTTAAAATATAATTTGGTTATGAAACCATGACCAGAACCTTTAGAATTGTGAGAAATAGGTATTGGCTTTAAAAATAATCCATGGTCTTACCTCTTTAGACCACACATATTTAAAAAAACTAACCTTTTAGTCCATGAATTTGCATTGGTGTCATTGCATGGGCATCGAAGGTGACCTGTAATTAGAAAATCAATATTTATTACTGGAAAAATATCCACCTTAAAAGGAGAAAAAAGCAAAACCTCAGTAACGTTATCTAAAAAAATCTGTTATGCTAGATTCAATATCAGTTATACAGTTAAAGTGAATCTTGCTTTGAAATAAAACACATAATTCTTTTCACTTAAACAAAAATCTTTAAACAATGTCTTATAATAACTTTATTTTATATATAAGTACATATTACATCTATTTATGATTCTTTTTACAGTGGTTTAATGATATACATCTAATTATCACCCAACACAACCCCTCTACCCCCTTTAATCTCAGGATATAAACATTTTAGAAAAATTTAGAAACCTTAATATTTGAAGGCAAAAGCAGAATAACTCTGTTAGTAAACGATTTTTGTTGTTTTGTATTTTTTTATTTTTTTGTTAAGGTATATTAAGTGAGGTTAAAATGGTTACTTGCTTTATTTACCTTGGCAAATGGAGACCCTTTTAACGGCTACAGCCATCCTCTTTCAGGTGAGATCAGCGTCATTTAGTCAGATTCTCTTTAATGCACAGGGCAAGGAGGGGGTTGTTTAGGTACTGTGAAATTCTCACCCAACCAAAGGAAAATAAAAAACAAAACAAAAACTCCAAAGTTGCACTACTGGAAAAAATCATTAATAACATAAAATGCTACTTACAGTCTTCACAAGAATAAGTGTTATTTTAATACTGTACTGTAATATGTATTTCGGTGTACTCTTTTTACATTTTATAATTAGATTTAGACTGCTGGAAACAAATTCTGGTATGCAATCTAATCAAAGTTTTGTCTATGCATAGAAAGCTTGAATCAGCTTTACTTTTCAGTCAAAAGTCTCCCACACAATAATACACCTAAAACTTAAGGAGACCTTGAGTTGCACAGAATTCTGTCCTTAAAAAATAAAATAATATAGTACTTAGCAAGATATGAAAATAATATTTGATTTTATGTGTTTTAATATACAAAATGAGCCAAGACAGTTAAGTGTTTTTTAGGACTACAGGAAAATTAATTTCTTGTAACAGTAATACAAAAATAATAAGAATTTTGCAATGAAGACCAGCAGAATTTTTAAAGTTATTTGACCTATTTTAAGAGACTGGGTTACAGGGGCTTCACATTTTAAACAGTATTATAGTGAATAATAAGAATGAAATTTTACATAAGAAACAAAACATCTATGAGCATTAGACACTATCCGAAAAGTATTAAAGGTTGATTTATTAAGGTGATTTAATGAAAAATCCCAAGACTAGAAATTCTTTGTTTTGGGAGATTTAATTTCAATCAAATAATGATTTTATTTTTTTCAGGTTATTTATTTTAATCTTAACATGTACTGCGAAGTTAGAAAGAATAGCACGCTTAAATTAGAAAATATTGTGTCCTCATAATTATATAATGCTATTTTTATGCATAGAAGTTTTCACAGAACAATATTCCAGCAGTTATAGGATAAATGATCTCATAATTATTAAGTCAAATTATTTAATTGTTGTAATGAACAATTTAATCACATCCTAACGATTATTAAATATTTTGGTTTTGTTAGTTTAGATTTATGGCATTTTAATGCAAACCACATACTGTACAATTATTGCTTCAAACACACATTGCTTTCTTTCAAAAAGTTTATTTAGCATCAAGCAGAGAAAAAAAATCTTTGCTTAACACTACAGAACTTTGATTACTTTCAGTTACAAAAAAAAGAATACAACAATATTTGCATCTTGAGGTTGATTTTTTTTTCTTTGCCCTGTTCAGGAAGATTTACAAGAGACAAAACTATACCCAAACGCCTTTTAACACCCTTTCCCCACCACCTCCACTCCACCAAATAATAGAGAAAAATCCAAACTAAATCGCTATTGTTCTACACAGTCCTGCAAGGTTAAAGAAAACTACATTAGAAGTTAAAAGTAACATTTTATTAGAAAGAAACTACAACTAACATATCTGTCTTTTCATCCATTAATACTAGTTAATAAGGAATGGTTAGTTTACCTAGTTTACTTTGAGATATTTCTTTTTCTGGAAACATTTTCGTTACAGCTGTTATTGTTTTTGTTTTTTTTCTCGATGGCTTCGTGGCTATGTTCAGTCGAAAGAGAATAAGTCGTTATTCTGTTATCCAACATTTCTGGTGTCACTGTTGCTGTTGATATTTTTTTACTAAAAAGAAGGGATTGTTCATAGAAAAACCCATTACTTGGAACAGCACATGGGACTTGGTGGTGACCGTTTGAATTCAGAGTTCAGTATCTGGAGTACGGCTGTTCTCTGTAAACTCCCTTGGCTGTTCTTGTGGGTGGTGCTTTGTGTCTGTTGTTAGTCCATTCTTCCTGACCTGTTAAAAGTAGGAGGAATGGAAAAATTAAGATTTGTCATTGGATCCCATTTTTTTCAAATGTTGTACTCAATTACCATATACATGTTTCTACATTATACTATACTTAACTCTATGCAATTAAAGGTCTTTATACTGTATGCAAACTTTCATATACAGTACATACTGTATGTATTATACACTAATGGAATGATAAAGTACAGGTAGGTTACAATGAACAGTGTGTAAAGCATTTCTGACTCATAACAGTAATAATGTTGGAATTAATATTTTAGGTTTTTATTGTATACTCTATATACTCATAGTTATAATATAAAATGCATAATCAAATCTGATGGGAAATGTGTGTGTAAATTCAACTTAATTTAATTTAATTAAACCATAATAACCTGTATTTGTTTTACAAAACACAAAACCCCTAAAAAATGCATTTTATGGGTGAAATCCTGTTCATGCTAAACTTACAAAAAACTAAGATCCGTCTTGCAAGGAGAACTTTAAAATATATTTTTTAAGATTTTGAAATAATAGCAAGATGACAGCAACTGCATACTTCAGCAATAATTTAATTTCTTCAACCCCTGCTGTTTAGATTAAATAACCCAACAGAAAATGCATAGTCAAAACCTAAATGAGATTTAGGATTGCATTTTTAATGCTGCAAATTTGAATTGATTTAATTAAGAAAAACAGGTCTAACGTGTTTCCATTTTTAACAAATAAAATGTCATAGTGTTTTATTGTAAAAGTATTTGCTATTTTATTGTTTTAAAAGTAAAGGAAATTCTAGAATAAATAAAACCATTATTATGTCTGTCATTTGACAGACATTTCTAGAAAAATCATTTAAATAATAGAAAAATCATAGATTATAGAAATCTGAAATGGAAGATTTTAAAAATTAGCACTGTGGGACTATAGCCCAACTATTACTGTAGCAAGTACTGTATGTCATGCTTACAGGAGTGAAATAGCCCATCAAGGGAATTTGAAAAGATGCCACTTGGTTTCTTTTGGTCAGGTGCAAGAATCACCATTAACTGAAATCGGCATTCATTCAGCCTCATCACTGTCATTTGCAAGTGCATTTACTGACGGAAGCTTTTGTCTTTACTGATCATATGCCAGCACTTAACAATTTGATACAGTTCTTAAGCTCAATTACATAGTAGAATAGAACTCTTATGAATTTCTCTGCAAGAAAAAATCATTAACCTTTTACAACTGTTTGAGTTATCCTAAATACAATATAATTACCTCTATAATCTCCATGCTACCATCATAGGCATACAAAGGATGATTCAGGATTAAAGACACCAAAATGCTACCCACAACCTGAAGAGTGAGTATGCCTTCTTATATAAGCGGTAAAATATATTGAGTCACCAACAGGTACATAATCTATCTGAAGCACAATTAAAACCATAAGAATAATCAACTATGGATGAATAAAAGCATGTGTATATCATCTGAAATGAAGATGAAGCAGAAGCTAGAATTTCACTAGAATTCTGTATGGCATATGCAAATAGTCTAGGGATTCAGTCACACTGCATTTAAAATTAAAACAAATGAAGTTCAATAGTATAGGAGGCACTTCTTGATGCCTATGGTTGTGGGTGTATGGATCATACTACTCAGGCATCGTGCTGAAGTAAATACCCTGGCTTCTTTCAAGAACTGGCTAGAGCTGATTTTTGGATTAATTAACCACTACCTGCAACTAATTAACCTACTAACAACTGGGCCCTATTAGATAATTCCCCCTTCTCACTTACTTATTATTCTTATCATTTTAATTTTTATGTTCTTATTAATATTGGATAGTCTTCCATTATTGTCAATAATCTTTAATTTCCCCCAGAGAATGACAAGGTCCTCCCCACTCCTCTGCAAGCGCAAAACACTAAAATGTCCAATTTACCATGGCCACCTTAAAAGTAAACATGGTTCCAGCGGGGGATAAAAATTAAGATCATATATACTACATATTATATTAATGTATAAAGAACCCTCTCATGAGCCATCTGTGAGGCAAACAAAAGAGTTTAGGCCACATAATTAAGATAAACAAAAACACACTGTAGGGTTAACATGATCAGCAAAGGCAGCAGTAGGAAAACTGAAAGAGAGTACAACATGATCCTGACACAAGCGATTCCACATTACGTCTCACCATATCCAAGGGAACAACAAAGTCACAACTCAAAGGTCAAAAACATCTCAAATGGGCATTATACCATATGCACATAGTACAAAACACATTATTGCGTTGGAAATCCTTGGGAAAAGCTAGTTTTTAAAAGTAGTACGTTGCAGTTATACATTACAGAGTAATTCAATTTTGAAATTAATCACGTTAAGGTAAAATAATTTTAATCACATACAGTGATATATATGGTTTGAGTATAACTATTATATAAAGTAATAAATTAACTCTTAAAATCAAATACCCGCAACTTTGTATTAAGTTAAAAACAAATATTCCCCTTCACAAATATCTGTAATGGATTATTTTGAAATGGACAGTAACTTTTCCCAACCTTACTAGTTGGTCTCATGACAGCATAGGAACAGATTTAATTGGCGACCAGGGGCTTAATTTACAAGTGTTTTCCTTACAAGTGTTTTCAGTAAAAGTTTGATCAAAACATATCATGTGTTGCATCTTCTTTTAAGCAGTGAGAAAATCATAATACAAAATTAATCATTTATGCTGTTCGTTCCAGTAGCCCCATCATTCCGAATGCCCCAATATACCACATGTATGCTGAACGAAAGCAAAAGCAAAGAGCTGCCTTTGGAGTATATGCATGTCATGTCATTACATCACATTACATTATTCTGTATCACTTTAATGTACTGTGCTAATTTAACTGTCACTTACAATATATGTCTCCTAATACCGCCCACACTATGGAGATCAGACATTGCTTTATAATGCTGCCCATGTTTAAAATTAACCTCATTAATCTTATAATCACATTTTGTGCCTTTGAAATTAGATTAATTTCATTGGGATTTTTTTCCAAATAAAACATTTATATGATACTTAGAAGCACCCACTGTGTTATCCACTCAAAATTGTTGTGCGTTTCATCTATGTTTTGTTTAACAACATGGCCCTCTTTTCTTTAACTTTTCTTCTTAAATTTGAAATGAAACTAAAATACAACAAATACAAGCTATATCTTGTATGGGAGTCTGGAAACTGAAGACTATTAATGCAAAAAAGCCTTTTTCTCTTTCCACAGAAGAACATGTATTTTTTTATGTAAACATCAGTCAGTTACAGAACAAAGGACTGTAATATTATTAACTGGATCCAGTACATACTGTATATCATTCAGAACAGGAAAAAAGCCAATATTTGAGCATATAATCTGTCCATCCATTTTTAGTCTAAGTTTCCTGGTAAGGGGTATGATATAATGCAAATAGCATAAATTAAAGAGATTTATGTTATAAAATGAAATTGTGCTGTAATACAAACTAAGCACATTGTGAGAGAATCCCTACCAACATTTATCTACATTATCCTTCATTTTCCACCTAGAGCGCTCAGTAATTCATAAGTTGCACTAGAAAATAATTGTACATAAAGTTTTCATGCAGATACATAAAGGAGAAAAAGTATATTAAGTGGGAGTTATTTGTAAATGGTTAAAAAATACAGCTGACATGGTGGATATTTAAGGGAAGTGAGTTACCCAATGACAAAACTTATGACACTTATTACCTAAGCAATACACATTAAGTACTGAGACAAAATAAAT